ACACGAGGTACGTCAGTCTCAGCCAAAGATCCGAGTTTAATTTTGACCATGACGGCAAAGAATTGCCTGACGTAATCGAAATTGCTCATCATAGACACGCCATCCGGCGCCTTGACACCTGGTGGCCGCATCCCGAATGATTGAAATATATTGAATCATTTCACATGCCTTATCGGGATATTTACGCAAGTAAATATGCATAAATATTAGAAAAGCATCGGTCCACTTTTCAATTGTAGGAATTCTATCTTTTAAAACCTTCGGCTTAGACTCAATGGTGCCGTTGGCATTAAGAAATAAACTATTTCCAGCATAAAAATCCTGTAGCTCTGTACTCCCCTTCAGTAACAAGGCTAATTTATGAACTGGTTAGACCAAATCTTCTGCCTAAGCTGTGCGGGCACATGTGTGGTCATATCGTCATCCGCGCACGCTATCATGTCCGGCACTGATGAGCCATACCTCACTCCCGCCGCTGCTCCCCCACCAAATGATGTAGAGACTATGCCTAAAGGGAATGGGGATGTAGTTGACCGCCCACTTAACAATGTAGGGGCAGGTTGAACACGGGATTGCGCCGGAAAATTATTATTGAGAACGGAACCCCAAACATCAGAAACAGTATTTAGTTGTATACCTGTCGGAGCATTCGGAGCATCCTGCTGACCATTGCCCTGGACAGCCGGCAATGGACCTGCGTGGTATTCATTGATCACGTGCACCATGGCCTCATGCTCCGGCTCCGACTCCGGCTCTGGCTCTGATCTGGTAGGCTCTTCTGCAAATTTTGCCGCTCGCCGTCTCTTCCTTTGCCCCAGCGCCCTAGCCGGATTACCTCCTGTTGCCTTTCGCTTTCCGCCGATCTTCTTGTACACTGGCATTATTTTAATTTTGAATACGACTTGACTTGATGTGCGTGTTACGTGCTCGATGGTTGAGATGAAAAAGGACAAGGATGCGCTGTATCCCACTGCGCATTTTCAGACTGACCCCTCAGCGCCCCCCTATCTTACAATTACTTTACCAACAGGGGGTGCTAACTGCTGTCAGCTACTTAGCCATCATTCGAAAATCAAAATAAATCGCGTTTAATTTGGAATGTATTAAACGGCATTAATTGTATTCTTATATCATCTAAGTTAACCTCCAATGAATTGTAATGTTTTCAGTCATCTAATTATATCATGGTTTCATTCAATATTTCTAAAACAAACGTATGTTATCTTCAAAACCACCTATGAAATTTCTGTATCCTAAAAACACTCCATTTTATCTCTAATGCATTAAATACTTTCCCTAAAACACGTTCAATTGTAAGGATATATCTCTCTAAGTAAATGCTTCCAATGAAATCTGCTATTAATTTAACCATATCTCTACATCACCAACGGGTATTTCTCTTATATTTCTAATTATGTATCTCTTGTATCTTTTTGTTTGTTATGACTTTTTGGCGTCTTCACAAAACCTAAAATCATATGATGACGGGTGCCTAGGGAGACTACGCCGGGAAAAAAATGGTCGGAAAAGAAAAAAAGAAAAACCATAGATCCGAAGTGTTGCAATAGGGGCAGCAGATCATTTTCAGTTTATGTAGGAAAATCTTTGCTCTGAAGGCTGGCCATATCGGTAGCAGGATAGAGAAGGCCTCTATTATTCGATATATCTGTGTTAGGTATAACCTATATGTCGATATATATGTGTTAGGTATATCTTATATGTCGATATATATGTGTTAGGTATATCTTATATGTCGATATATATGTGTTAGGAATAACCTATATGTCGAAATATATGTGTTAGGTATATCTTATATGTCGATATATATGTGTTTGTTAGGTATAACCTATATGTCCATATATCTGTGTTAGGTATACCCTATATGTCGATATATCTGTGTTAGGTATAACCTATATGTCGTTGAATTGGACTGTGCCACGGACTGTGGTATGTGTAAATGGTGTTCGTTGTGGTAAGTTAATGACTGAGCATGTGTAGGGGGCCCCTTCTGATAGATGTTTTATGCACGGCAATCCTATAGATTCACTGTTATACGGTACGAGAAACGTTGTATGGAGATCTGATAGAAATCCACTGTTATACGGTACGGAATAGAAATTTACTTGAAAATGGTATGATTTTTTGGATGACCAACGCTTTGAATATAACGTGGTTTTTTTCATTATACAAAATACAAGGACAACTGAACTGTGGATAAATTATCCTTTATTGGATAAACACACTTAATAATATAAATACTCAGACAGAAGCATTGCTGAGGCCATATATCAGCTGACTTAATAACCTATGACCCCTGACCTCAGCGAATCACGGTTTGGACGGACAACAACACACATTTGGCCATGAAAGCGACCGTAATATAGTCTATAAACATTTACTATCAGTTAAACATTGATACAGATAAAGTGTTCCTCCAGCAATATATGCAGGGGAGGACGGGGATAAATGAGGCACTCTTCGAATGTTGCCAGCTTATCATAATTTTACTGAATAAGGCTAATATCTTTTTACTAGCCGATGTATCATTGTACATTATTTACGGTAAACTGTAGAAGAATAAGCAGTATATGCATGCAGCCTTTTGTCACTACTAACTAGACATAGCTTTTCACAACCCTCTTTAATTTTCAGATAGTTTCACTGACTAGAGCACAAACAACATTGTATCGTATCACCCGTTCTCTCCTCCAAATCTGTTCAATGTTTCATGGGAGTTGTTTTATCATGCATTCTAGAGTAAACTAGCTAAAATATCGAAAAACCGTTCTTCACCAAAATAAAATATAACTGAATAATTGTTTGTGTCTGTAGGTGTCATGTCCATATTGCAAAAGTACCTAGTACAGATAGGAGTGTCAAGGAACCCAAATATCTACAAAGGTTTCACAGATCTCAGTCAAGTTGACACTCCTCCCTGTCATAGGAAGGCTTTTCGATTTGTTTTAAACCGCCATGATCTCAGATCTCTGTCCATTGTTTTTTTTTCACTTTTTGTCATAAGTGTCTTTCCCTTTGTAAGCGCCGACATATCCCGAGTTATCGACTCTTGCATCGGCGCCACCTAAGCCCTTTCCGTCCTTGTCGAACTTGTTAGCATGCATGCCGGTGTAGGCGCTGGTGTCGGTCATCCCCTTCACATTACCAGACTTAGACTCTTTCTGTGAAAATACAAATAATTTAGAGCTGCTCGTAAAAAACAAATACGTAATATTGACTTTTTCAGTGTATATACCGTTAACCCAGTAAGTACATACCGGATATTTAGAGATTAGTATATGACCATTTTGATATCACACCCCATATCAGCCCGAGAGTCCTGATATCAGACAGAGGGCTGATATTAGGACTCAATGGCTGATTGGGGTGTGATATCAAAATGGTCATATCATAAACTTTTTATCATGTTTTTTTCCTTTAAAATAAACAAAACATACACAAAACAATATTTCTTTATTTTATCTATATTCATAAAACTGGTAACAAAATCAATGATGTATATAAACAAAACAGTAACAATTATACGTAAAAAGTCAACATTTAGAAATTCGCAAATTCCTACAAAATGATATGGTTATTGAAATTTGGGTGGGGCTTTGTAAATCAATCTTTAAATCATTAAACCGCAGTTATTCCATGCCAACAATTCGTTTGAGCGGAAGCAGCAAAATCCGAAAATTTGGGAGGGGGTGTGATATCACTTTTCTAGGGGGTGATATCACTTTCAAGGGAGGGGGGGGTGATATCACTCCAAGGGGTTGTGATATCACCCGGGCTGATATTAACTTGTGGAAATTTTAGACTTATTACACATACAAAAAGGGTGTATAGTAAACATATGATAACACTTATTACAGTGTATTTCCCGTTAACCCAGTAAGTACCTTCCGGATATCACATATTACATTGTATTTACCGTTTACCTCGTAAGTACATACCGGATATCGCCTATTATAGTGTATTTCCCGTTAGCCAGTAAGTACCTTCCGGATATCACCTATTGCAGTGTATTTACCGTTAACCAAGTATGTGACGTTACCTACCTGATGTAACATATTATAGTTTATTACCCCTTTGAGAAAAATCTAGTAATCTGATTGGTTAAAAACTACAGTGTACCAAACCGCATTCATAAATCTCAGGGGGTATACGAAAATCTCAGGGGGAATACGGTCATGTCACGTGATTCTCAGCAGTAATACGGTGGAATCACGTGGTTTTACAAGGGGGTATACGGGTCACGTGTCTTTGTATCTTGCGGCCGGGCATCGGGAGACAACTCGCATTCGTCGTCTGCTTCGCTGTTTACAAAATGGCAAAACGTTTCGCTTCGCATACTGATGAGGAAATACTCGCCAAAAGGGCTAACTATGTGCCACATAACACACAAAAGTCGAACAGACGAGCGGCAAACATGCTGAGGACGTATTTAAAAGAAAGGAAGCAGGAAGAACAGTTCGAGGAATTTGATAAAACGAAACTAAATGAGGTACTGTGCCTGTTATTTTTCTTTGTTTTTATTAAAAAAGACTCAACGGGGTAATAAATTCGTTACACGGATTTTTGGCAGGGTATACCGGATGGTAAGACCCTACAGGATTTCGTATTTCCTTCGGCCTATCGGCCTCAGGAAATACGAAACCCTTTAGGGTCATACCATCCCGCTAATAGTATTTACCGTTAACTTAGTGAGTACCTACCCGATATCGCCTATTAAAGTGTATTTACCGTTTACCCAGTATGTGACGTTACCTAACAATTATCACCTATGACAATATATTTACCTTTGTGACATTACCTACCTGATGTCACATATTACAGTGTATTTATCGTTAACCTAGTGAGTACCTACCCGATATCGCCTATTATAGTGTATTTACCGTTTACCCAGTTTGTACCTTCTGGATATCGCCTATTACAGTGTATTTACCGTTAAGCCAACAAGTACCTATCTGATACCAACTATATTTCATTGTACTTACCGTTACCCCAGTAAGTTGTGTTCCTTTGAGATTTTTTAATAGTTCTTTCTCCCATGTACTTCCTTCTGGTGGTTTCTTCCCCTTTCTCTTGGCTTCTAACTTTTCGGCAGATTTTGCTAGAAACTTCATAGACTTTTCCTTGGTAATGGTCATAAACCTGAAAGAGAGTATATGAAATAAACGTGAATTTATGATTTTATTCTAGTTCGTTGCAACAGTAATTAGTGCAAGTTAACATTAGTTAATAGCTTACGACTTGTGCCAATTAATTCCTATAACAATAGGTGTGAGGTAGGTTACAGTTTATTATCTACCTTGGTTTTATAAGTGGTGAAATTCGGTGGTTTTATCATGCATTCTAAAGCGAATCAGCCTAAATATCGAACGTGTGTTTTTCAACCGTTTTTAACAAGTACAGTACAGATTATAGAGTCAAGGAGCTTAAATATGTACCGTGTTTCACAAATCACAGCTGATTTTGTCAATGTGCTGCTATTTGAATTTCAAAAAAATAATTTATGTAAGCAATTTGCTTTATTCGAATCCTTTTCATTAAAAAATTCTTTGTAAAATTTTAGTGCAAAAAGTGATGTCATTTAATTATCTGTATGGAAACATCACAGAAAACCTATAGATTGTCTCACAAAGTAGTCCAACGCCGGGAAAAGCATCCATACGGCTGTCCAAGGTAAGAGATTAAAAATATTGTAATATACCTTAGTATTCCTGCTGCTAGAGCTGTCTTTTCACTACCTTAAGAAACGAAATCATCCTTTTTCTCCCATATTTCAATAAGCAAAAGGAGTAATAAAAGCCAATAATTTATATGTGATGACGATTTTGTTATTGCAGTACTTGTTTGAACATTGACAACCCTAAACCAATTATATACATACTATCTATGTGTATGTGGATAAAAAATCAAAATTAAAATACCACATATCACTAGATTCTAACAAATGTGTATTTTTAGGATATTAGTTTATGGACAAGGTATTAATTACTAGACAATACAGGGTTGTCATTCGGAGCTATCCGCTTCATTGAGTCACACAACCAGGAAATATTAAAGATCCCTGTACCACTGTAAACACTAGAGAGTTCCACTGAACTCTTACATACAGTTACCTCCCCTCTATATAATCTTGGTTGAGCTAGAGAACAACCACTGTAAACACTAGAGAGCTCCACTGAACTCTTACATACAGTTACCTCCCCTCTATACAATCTTGGTTATAACTGTAGTGGATTTGAGCTAGAGAACTACCACTGATATGGTACATGTGTAGCTCAGTTGGTCATATTGGTTAAAGCGATCTTATTATGATCCAAGGTCAATGAGATTTCGCAAAGTATGGGTTTCTTTCCCGAAATAATTTGTAAAAGCTATTGCATTCCCAGACCAAACGTTTCCAATTCAAAGTTACAGTTTCTTGCAGTAATACGGGCATCTTAAATGTAATTATATTTGATTTCGCAACATTTTTCTGTTTTAAATAAGTAAAAACAGTGTAGCGCATGCTTTTATACGATAGTGACATTTACTTTTTTTGACTATTTTGGAATATAAACGATTTGTATTAACCATAACCTGACTAACCGTGACCATAACATGACTTACCCTGACCATAACATGACTGACCATAGCATGACTTACCGTGACCATAACGTGACTTACCGTGACCATAACGTGACTTACCGTGACCATAACGTGATTTATCGTGACCATAACATGACTGACCATAACATGACTTACCCTGACCATAACATGACTTACCCTGACCATAACGTGACTTACCGTGACCATAACGTGACTAACCGTGACCATAACATGACTTACCGTGACCATAGCATGACTTACCGTGACCATAACATGACTTACCGTGACCATAACATGACTTACCGTGACCATAACATGACTTACCGTGACCATAACGTGACTTACCGTGACCATAACGTGACTAACCGTGACCATAACGTGACTTACCGTGACCATAGCATGACTTACCGTGACCATAACATGACTTACCGTGACCATAACATGACTTACCGTTTCGTCTTGTCGTCCTTACAAACAGGGAAGATGCTGGAATCCATATCCGTTCTCAGTTCCTTCCAGAGAAGGTTGTCTTTTGTAATTTTCCCTGTAGCCTGGGAAGTCAGATTTTCCTTATGTGCCAGTTTAGCATACTGTTTCAGCTTATCAACCAGCTCGCTCACCTCCTCATCAGAGAGTCCTCCGCTAGCTATAAAGATATAAATTAGTCAACTCTATTGTTCAATCAAACAAACACATGTTCAAGTCATCTTGGTAATTTCTACACAACAGAAAGTAACAGAACAATAAATTCAATAAACAAAACTAAACATCGAAATGAAGATCAGATAATGATAAGTAACCCAGTGTGACACCTTGACGTCGGTAGCCTATCTATATTTATTATACCTCTACTTTATTTACTCTATATAAAAGTATTTGGTTAAATCGAATATATCTCCACTTTTGCCTGACTGTGTTTTAGTCCTGTGTGTTAGTCTGGGAACTAAAACACACAAACATTCGGGTGTTTCCGCCGAGCCAATCAGGCGAGAGGTTGGCGGAGCTTATTACCGAACTCGGAAGCGACGCGCGAGTTGGGCGGAGCTTGCTACCGAACTCGGCAGTGACGCGCGAGTTGGGCGGAGCATTTGGCTCCATTGCCATCAAAAGGGTAGTAGAGACGTAAAGCGATACAGCTTATGGCTTACAAATATTTTCTAGTTAAAACTATCTCTCCAGTGTGTATCGGTATAATATATGGGGTAAGGGATATAGCAAGTTTTTGGTGTCCCTTGGACATGCCTATTTCCCTCGCCTTCGCCTCGGGAAATAGCCTGCACTCGGGACACCAGAAACTTGCTATATCCCTCAACCTAATACTTTAACTGTTTAATATTACTCGGTATGGCAATCAAAGGTTTCGTGGTTACCGATACTCCCTCTATCAGGTTCCCAGGAAACAAACCAGTCTTCAAACCTTCCAAAGGTTCTGTCAGTGTTTCATATTGGCACACTGTATGTCTGTTGTCTGTATGAGAGGTGGTAGTGTGTTCTGTATAAAATGTAGTAGTATTCTGTATAAGAGGTGGAAGTGTGTTCTGTATTAGACGTGTAGTGTATTCTGTATGAGAGGTGGTAGTGTATTCTGTATGAGAGTAGGTAGTGTATTCTGTTTGAGAGGTGGTAGTGTATTCTGTATGAGAGGTGGTAGTGTATTCTATATGAGAGGTGGTAGTGTGTTCTGTATTATAGTTGGTAGTGTGTTTTGTATGAGAGGTGGTAGTGTGTTCTATATGACTGGTGGTAGTGTGTCCTGTATTATAGTTGGTAGTGCATTCTGTATGAGAGGTGGTAGTGTATTCTGTATGAGAGGTGGTAGTGTGTTCTCTATTAAAGGTGGTAGTGTATTCTATATGAGAGGTGGTAGTGTGTTATGTATGAGAGTTGGTAGTGTGTTCTGTATGAGAGGTGGTAGTGTGTTTGTATGAAAGATGTAGTGTATTTTGTATGAGAGGTGGTAGTGTGTTATGTATGAGAGTATGTAGTGTATTATCTATGAGAAAAGGTAGTGTATTCTCTATGAGAGGTAGTAGTGTATTATATATGAAAGTTAGTAGTGTGTTCTGTATGAGACGTGTAGCGTATTCTGTATGAGAGGTGGTAGTGTATTATGTATGAGAGTAGGTAGTGTATTATGTATGAGAGGTGGTAGTGTATTCTTGATGAGAGGTGGTAGTGTGTTCTGTATTATAGTTGGTAGTGTGTTCTGTATGAGACGTGTAGTGTATTCTGTATGAGAGGTGGTGGTGTATTCTCTATGAGAGTAGATATTGTATTCTGTATGAGAGGTGGTAGTGTATTCTGTATAGGAGGTGGTAGTGTATTCTATATGGGAGGTGGTAGTGAGTTCTGTATGAAAGGTGGTAGTATGTTCTGTATGAGAGGTGGTAGTGTGTTCTGTATGAGACGTGTAGTGTATTCTGTATGAGATGTGGTAGTGTATTATGTATGAGAGTAGGTAGTGTATTATGTATGAGAGGTGGTAGTGTATTCTTGATGAGAGGTGGTAGTGTGTTCTGTATTATAGTTGGTAGTGTGTTCTGTATGAGAGGTGGTAGTGTGTTCTGTACGAGAGTTGGTAGTGTATTCTCTATGAGAGGTGGTCGTGTGGTCTGTATGAGAGGTGGTAGTGTGGTCTCTATGAGAGGTGGTAGTGTGGTCTCTATAAGAGGTGGTAGTGTATTCTTTAAGAGAGGTGGTAGTGTATTATATATGAGAGGTGGTAGTGTGTTCAGTATTATAGTTGGTAGTGTGTTCTGTATGAGAGGTGGTAGTATGTTCTGTATGAGAGGTGGTAGTGTGTTCTGTATGAGACGTGTAGTGTATTCTGTATGGGAGGTGGTAGTGTATTATGTATGAGAGTAGGTAGTGTATTATGTATGAGAGGTGGTAGTGTATTCTTGATGAGAGGTGGTAGTGTGTTCTGTATTATAGTTGGTAGTGTGTTCTGTATGAGAGGTGGTAGTGTGTTCTGTACGAGAGGTGGTAGTGTATTCTCTATGAGAGGTGGTAGTGTGGTCTGTATGAGAGGTGGTAGTGTGGTCTCTATGAGAGGTGGTAGTGTGGTCTCTATAAGAGGTGGTAGTGTATTCTTTAAGAGAGGTGGTAGTGTATTCTCTATGAGAGGTGGTAGTGTGTTCTGTATTATAGTTGGTAGTGTGTTCTGTATGAGACGTGTAGTGTATTCTGTATGAGAATTGGTAGTGTATATGTATGAGAGTAGGTAGTGTATTATGTATGAGAGGTGGTAGTGTGGTCTCTATAAGAGGTGGTAGTGTATTATTTAATAGAGGTGGTAGTGTGTTCTCTGTGATAGATGGTAGTGTGACCTGTATGAGAGGTGGTACCGTGTTCTGTATGAGAGATGGTAGTGTGTTCTATATGAAAGATGGTAGTGTGTTCTGTATGAGAGGTGGCAGTGTGTTCTGTATGGGAGGTGGCAGTGTGTTCTGTATGGGAGGTAGTAGTGTGGTCTGTATGAGAGGCGGTAGTGTGTTCTCTATGAGAGATGGTAGTGTGGCCTGTATGAGAGGGTAGTGTGGCCTGTATGAGAGGTGGTAGCGTGTTCTCTATGAGATATGGTTGTGTGTTCTATATGAGAGATGGTAGTGTGGCCTGTATGGAAAGTGGTAGTGTGGCCTGTATGAGAGGGTAGTGAGGCCTGTATGAGAAGTGGTAGCGTGTTCTCTATGAGAGAGTGTGGAAGGGAGTGTGCTATTGTTGAGAAGGTTTGGGTAAGTGATTTGTTTGAGGGTACATTTGTATCTACGGGTGTGTGTTATTATGAAATGGTATGTGTGTAACTGTGTTAGGTATAAATGTGGATGTGTGTTAAGTATAGAGGGTAGGTGAGGGGTAGGTATAGAGGGTAGGTGTGGATTTGTGTTAGGTAGAGGGTAGGTGTGGATGTGTGTTAGGTATAGAGGGTAGGTTGGTATGTGTTATGTATAGAGAGTAGGTGTGGATGTGTGTTTTGTTTGAGAGAATATGTGTTATATGGAAAAGTATATGTGAGTATGTGTTCTATATAAACCGGGCTGTGTGGGTAGGTGCTGTGTATGAGAGGGGTTGCGTGGGTGTAATTATGAGGATACCTATTTGCACGGGTATATGTGTAGGTATATGTGATCATTAGTGTTCATGTGTGAGAGGGTTTGGGTGGATGGTATGTTTCAGGACATTGGATATTCGTGTGTGTATCTATATATAAAAGGGTATGTGTTATGTCATGTGTTATGTAAAACCTGTGTGTGGTGTTGTGAATGTGTGTTCACTAAAGCCTTTAAACACACGTTGGTCTAGTTAAGTGTATTGACATGAGCTCCCTACACCACTTGATCACAGGTAATCCGCCTGCTGAATGGGTAGTGAGGAATACACTTCGAAACATTGTTTGAAACAGACCAAGGTCGTAGTTCAAATTCGTGGTGAACTGTGATTGAAAACCAAGCTCTACAAAGAGAAACTTCATTAAGGACTTGTTGATACCTGTTTACCCTCTACATGTCAGTAGCTATCTACAGGTAACAGGTAAAGGCCTCACGCTTATTTAGGGTATGAAAAGGAGTTGGAACATTTTTTTTTTGGTACGGAAATCATTTAAACTTCACTGCCGGTGTCGATATTCCCCAATCAAACTGCGGCTCTCTAACCATGAAGAATGTATACTAATATAACAACCCACAAGGTCCATGGCATGGGAAGACATTCAGACTAGTGTGGCATAACCCCGGTGGTGTCATCGGTTTTGTAGACAAAACACAGTATATTTATGAAAATTGATAATGGAGTCAGCATCGAGTTCCACAAAACAAAGTATAACGTCTTTAGACTAATAATACAAAACATAATTAAAAACTCAACTGACTATACCGTAGTTCTCAAGAGACAATACACTTCCTATACGTTTGTAGCTGTCAATAAGTGGACAGGATATAAGCTACGTCATAGTATACATTTGATTATAACTGTGTATTTCTATTTTTACTGCGCAATACACTGACCAATCAAGTATGAATATCCGCACACTGTAGATTTGGATAGATATATTTTGCAAAACACACTACATTGTCAATAACAGTCAAATGCATATACCTAGCAGAATAGAATGTATACTTACCCATTTCGAATGTAAGTGTGGAAACTGTTGCTCAATGTGTTGACAGTTAAGAGATGCCCGCAGAACAGGTATGACGGTGTAAAATACTATCCGTTTCTAACGTAAACAACGCCGGTTTATACTGGTTGCCGTCTGAAATCTACATGTGACAGGAGCTGTATAAACTGGCTGGGGCCGCTTCACTAATATTAGCTGAATATTGATTGAATGCACACTCGTGCTATATCGTCTGCATATCACCCAAACTTTAACTTATTGTGTACATCAGGGTTGGTCTGGCGTTCAGGACAGTGTATACCCGTAGTATAGGTACCAGTACCCGAAATCGCTCATCAGCCGCTCCAACAAAACGAGTTTTCAGGACTCTCAGGTGAACAAGCTTAATTTAATTAATGTTGCAGACTCTATAGCAGATCGGGTTTTAAGCAATAATATTTCCATGTGCATAATGTTCTCTGAACCACACCTTGACTAGGAATAAACGTCATTAAAATATGGCGCCAAACGCTACTAATCCAGGCACTTCTTTATGCATTAACATTTTCATGTTAATATTTTAATTGGCATGTCTCTGAGTCACAAGTGTGACACGTCCCGCGTCCTGCTCAAGGTCGTGAATCCAAGTCGCATCTGTGACACGTCCCGCTCAAAGGTTGTGACTCAAAGTCACAGATGTGAAACTTACCGATCACAGGTTGTCTCCAAGTCACAAATATGAAACGTACCAATCACAGGTTGTGACTCCAAATGGTTTTCGTTTTGGTAAGTTAATGACTGAGCATGTGGAGGGGGTTCTGATAGATGTTCTATGTATGGGCACTGTGAGATCCGATAGAAATCCACTGTAAAATGGCATGTGAAACTTTGAAGGTAAGTCTGATTGAAATTCAGTTAAATGATACGGGAAATTCGGTATGGAGGTCTGATAGAATTAACTTGAAAATGGTACTTTGTTTATTTGTGTTTTTACGACCCATCGACGGCTGAGGTCATTTAGGGCCATGGTGATTTATTTATTTATTTTATTTTATTTTCAAACAAACATTGAGGGTAGCGAAGATAAAATCAGATGAAAATGTTCATTTTTAAAAGCATTCGCATTGTATGTGTAGATAATTAAAATAAAAAGGAGGTTAAATATAATAACACAGATAACGAATAGATGATATGGACTATGTGATATAAATACCGCCAAAGAAGGTAATGTGATAGACGGATGTCTTTCAAATAGTTAAATAATGCCTTCGAGTCCACGAGACTGAAAATGATACGAATTTTTGTATGACCAACGCTTTGAATATAACGTGTTTTTGTTCATTATACAGAATACAAGGACAACTGAACTGTGGATAAATTATCCTTTATTGGATAAACACACTTAATAATATAAATACTCAGACAGAAGCATGCTGAGGCCATATATCAGCTGGCTTAATAACCTATGATCTCTGACCTCAGCGAATCACGGTTTGGACGGACAACAACACACATTTGGCCATGAAAGCGACCGTAATATAGTCTATAAACATTTACTATCAGTTAAACATTGATACAGATAAAATGTTCCCCCAGCGATAAATGCAGGGGAGGACGGGGATAAATGAGGCACTCTTCGAATGTTGCCAGCTTATCATAATTTTACTGAATAAGGCTAATATCTTTTTACTAGCCGATGTATCATTGTACATTATTTACGGTAAACTGTAGAAGAATAAGCAGTATATGCATGCAGCCTTTTGTCACTACTAACTAGACATAGCTTTTCACAACCCTCTTTAATTTTCAGATAGTTTCACTGACTAGAGCACAAACAACATTGTATCGTATCACCCGTTCTCTCCTCCAAATCTGTTCAATGTTTCATGGGAGTTGTTTTATCATGCATTCTAGAGTAAACCAGCTAAAATATCGAAAAACCGTTCTTCACCAAAATAAAATATAACTGAATAATTGTTTGTGTCTGTCGGTGTCATGTCCATATTGCAAATATACCTAGTACAGATAAGAGTGTCAAGAAACCCCAATATCTACAAAGGTTTCACAGATCTCAGTCAAGTTGACACTCCTCCTTGTCATAGGAAGCCTTTTCGATTTGTTTTAAACCGCCATGATCTCAGATCTCTGTCCATTGTTTTTTTTCACTTTTTGTCATAAGTGTCTTTCCCTTTGTAAGCGCCGACATATCCCGAGTTATCGACTCTTGCATCGCCGCCACCTAAGCCCTTTCCGTCCTTGTCGAACTTGTTAGCATGCATGCCGGTGTAGGCGCTGGTGTCGGTCATCCCCTTCACATTACCAGACTTAGATTCTTTCTGTGAAAATACAAATAATTTAGAGCTGCTTGTGAAAAACCAAATACGTAATATTGGCTTTTTCAGTGTATATACCGTTAACCCAGTAAGTACATACCGGATATTTAGAGATTAGTATATGACCATTTTGATATCACACCCCATATCAGCCCGAGAGTCCTGATATCAGACAGAGGGCCGAAAGCCCGAGGGCTGATATTAGGACTCAATGGCTGATTGGGGATGTGATATCAAAATGGTCATATCATATACTTTTTATCATGTTTTTTTCCTTTAAAATAAACAAAACATACACAAAAAAATATTTCTTTATCTCATTTATATTCATAAAACTGGTAACAAAATCAATGATGTATATAAACAAAACAGTAACAATTATACGTAAAAAGTCAACATTTAGAAATTCCCAAATTCCTACAAAATGATATGGTTATTGAAATTTGGGTGGGGCTTTGTAAATCAATCTTTAAATCATTAAACCGCAGTTATTCCATGCCAACAATTCGTTTGAGCGGAAGCAGCAAAATCCGAAAATTTGGGAGGGGGTGTGATATCACTTTTCTAGGGGGGGGGGTGATATCACTCCAAGGGGTTGTGATATCGACCGGGCTGATATCAACTTGTGGAAATTTTAGACTTATTACACATACAAAAAGGGTGTATAATAAACATATAATAACACTTATTACAGTGTATTTCCCGTTAAACCAGTAAGTACCTACCGGATATCACCTATTATAATGTATTTACCGTTAACCAAGTAAGTACCTACCGGATATCACCTAGTACAGTGTATTCCCCGTTAACCCAGTAAGTACCTTCGGATATTACATATTACATTGTATTTACCGTTAACCTAGTAAGTACATACCGGATATCGCCTATTATAGTGTATTTCCCGTTAACCAGTAACTACCTTCCGGATATCACCTATTACAGTGTATTTACCGTTAACCAAGTATGTGACGTTACCTACCTGATGTAACATATTACAGTGTATTTACCGTTAACCCAGTGAGTACCTACCCGATATCGCCTATTAAAGTGTATTTACCGTTTACCCAGTAGGTACCCTCCAGATACCACCTATCACAGTGTATTTACCGTTAACTCAGTTAATACATACCGGATATCACCTATTACAGTTTATTTACCATTAACTCAGTATGTGACGTTACCTAACACTTATCACCTATGACAATATATTTACCATTAACCCAGTATGTGACATTACCTACCGGATATCACCTATCACAGTGTAATTACCGTTTACTCAGCAAGCACCTAACGGATATCACCTATCACAGTGTTTTTACCGTTAACCCAGTATGTGACGTTACCTAACAATTATCACCTATGACAATATATTTACCATTGTGACATTACCTACCCGATATCACCTATTATAGTGTATTTATCGTTAACCTAGTGAGTGCCTACCCGATATCGCCTATTATAGTGTATTTACCGTTTACCCAGTTTGTACCTTCCGGATATCACCTATTACAGTGTATTTACCGTTAAGCCAACAAGTACCTATCTGATACCAACTATATTTCATTGTACTTACCGTTACCCCAGTAAGTTGTGTTCCTTTGAGATTTTTTAATAGTTCTTTCTCCCATGTACTTCCTTCTGGTGGTTTCTTCCCCTTTCTCTTGGCTTCTAACTTTTCGGCAGATTTTGCTAGAAACTTCATAGACTTTTCCTTGGTAATGGTCATAAACCTGAAAGAGAGTATATGAAATAAACGTGAATTTTTGATTTTATTCTAGTTCGTTGCAACAGTAATTAGTGCAAGTTAACATTAATTAATAGCTTACGACTTGTGCCAATTAATTCCTATAACAATAGGTGTGAGGTAGGTTACAGTTTATTATCTACCTTGGTTTTATAAGTGGTGAAATTTGGTGGTTTTATCATGCATTCTAACGCGAATCAGCCTAAATATCGAACGTGTGTTTTTCAACCGTTTTTAACAAGGACAGTACAAATTATAGAGTCGAGGAGTTTAAATATGTACCGTGTTTCACAAATCATAGCTGATTTTGTCAATGTGCTGCTATTTAAATTTCAAAAAAATAATTTATGTAAGCAATTTGTTTCATTGGAATCCTTTCCATTAAAAATTTCTTTGTAAAATCTGAGTGCAAAAAGGTGATGTCATATAATTATTTGTATGGAAACATCACAGAAAACCATAGATTGTCTCACAAAGCAGTCCAACGCCGGGAAAAGCAACCATACGGCTGTCAAAGGTAAGAGATTAAAAATATTTTAATATACCTCAGTACTCCTGCTGCTAGAGCTGTCTTTTCCCTACCTTAAGAAACGAAATCATCCCTTTTCTCCCATATTTCAATAAGCAAAATGAGTATATATGGACGATTTTGTTATTGCAGTACTTGTTTGAACGTTGACAACCCTAAACCAATTATATACATACTATCTATGTGTGTATGGATAAAAAAATCAAAATTAAAATACCACATATCACTGGATCTTAACAAATGTGTATTTTAAGGATATGAGTTTATGGACAAGGAAGTAATTACTACAGGGTTGTCATTCGGAGCTATCCGCTTCATTGAGTCACACAACCAGGAAATATTAAAGATCCCTGTACCACTGTAAACACTAGAGAGTTCCACTGAACTCTTACATACAGTTACCTCCCCTCTATATAAACTTGGTTATAACTGTAGTGGGTTTGACTAGAGAACAACCACTGATATGGTACATTACCTCCCCTCTATATAATCTTGGTTATAACTGTAGTGGGTTTGAGCTAGAGAACAACCACTGATATGGTACATTACCTCCCCTCTATACAATCTTGGTTATAACTGTAGTGGATTTGAGCTAGAGAACTACCACTGATATGGTACATGTGTAGCTCAGTTGGTCATATTGGTTAAAGCGATCTTATTATGATCCAAGGTCAATGAGATTTCGCAAAGTATGGGTTTCTTTCCCGAAATAATTTGTAAAAGCTATTGCATTCCCGGACCAAACGTTTCCAATTCAAAGTTACAGTTTCTTGCAGTAATACGGGCATCTTAAATGTAATTATATTTGATTTCGCAACATTTTTCTCTTTTAAATAAGTAAAAACAGTGTAGCGCATGCTTTTATACGATAGTGACATTTACTTTTTTTGACTATTTTGGAATATAAACGATTTGTATTAACCATAACGTGACTAACCGTGACCATAACATGACTTACCGTGACCATAACATGACTGACCATAGCATGACTTACCGTGACCATAACGTGACTTACCGTGACCACAGCATGACTTACCCTGACCATAGCATGACTTACCGTGACCATAACGTGACTTATCGTTACCATAACGTGACTTACCGTGACCATAACGTGACTTACCGTGACCATAACATGACTTACCGTGACCATAACGTGACTTACCGTGACCATAACGTGACTTACCGTGACCATAACGTGACTTACCGTGACCATAACATGACTTACCGTGACCATAACGTGACTTACCGTGACCATAACATGACTTACCGTGACCATAACGTGACTTACCGTGACCATAACATGACTTACCGTGACCATAACGTGACTTACCGTGACCATAACATGACTTACCGTGACCATAACGTGACTTACCGTGACCATAACATGACTTACCGTGACCATAACGTGACTTACCGTGACCATAACATGACTTACCGTGACCATAACGTGACTTACCGTGACCATAACATGACTTACCGTGACCATAACATGACTTACCGTGACCATAACGTGACTTACCGTGACCATAACATGACTTACCGTGACCATAACATGACTTACCGTGACCATAACGTGACTTACCGTGACCATAACATGACTTACCGTGACCATAACGTGACTTACCGTGACCATAACATGACTTACCGTGACCATAACGTGACTTACCGTGACCATAACATGACTTACCGTGACCATAACGTGACTTACCGTGACCATAACATGACTTACCGTGACCATAACGTGACTTACCGTGACCATAACATGACTTACCGTGACCATAACGTGACTTACCGTGACCATAACATGACTTACCGTGACCATAACATGACTTACCGTGACCATAACGTGACTTACCGTGACCATAACATGACTTACCGTGACCATAACATGACTTACCGTGACCATAACGTGACTTACCGTGACCATAACATGACTTACCGTGACCATAACATGACTTACCGTGACCATAACGTGACTTACCGTGACCATAACATGACTTACCGTGACCATAACATGACTTACCGTGACCATAACGTGACTTACCGTGACCATAACATGACTTACCGTGACCATAACATGACTTACCGTGACCATAACGTGACTTACCGTGACCATAACATGACTTACCGTGACCATAACATGACTTACCGTGACCATAACGTGACTTACCGTGACCATAACATGACTTACCGTGACCATAACATGACTTACCGTGACCATAACGTGACTTACCGTGACCATAACATGACTTACCGTGACCATAACATGACTTACCGTGACCATAACGTGACTTACCGTGACCATAACATGACTTACCGTGACCATAACATGACTTACCGTGACCATAACGTGACTTACCGTGACCATAACATGACTTACCGTGACCATAACATGACTTACCGTGACCATAACGTGACTTACCGTGACCATAACATGACTTACCGTGACCATAACATGACTTACCGTGACCATAACGTGACTTACCGTGACCATAACATGACTTACCGTGACCATAACATGACTTACCGTGACCATAACGTGACTTACCGTGACCATAACATGACTTACCGTGACCATAACATGACTTACCGTGACCATAACGTGACTTACCGTGACCATAACGTGACTTACCGTGACCATAACGTGACTTACCGTGACCATAACATGACTTACCGTGACCATAACATGACTTACCGTGACCATAACGTGACTTACCGTGACCATAACATGACTTACCGTGACCATAACATGACTTACCGTGACCATAACGTGACTTACCGTGACCATAACGTGACTTACCGTGACCATAACATGACTTACCGTGACCATAACATGACTTACCGTGACCATAACGTGACTTACCGTGACCATAACGTGACTTACCGTGACCATAACATGACTTACCGTGACCATAACATGACTTACCGTGACCATAACGTGACTTACCGTGACCATAACATGACTTACCGTGACCATAACATGACTTACCGTGACCATAACGTGACTTACCGTGACCATAACATGACTTACCGTGACCATAGCATGACTTACCGTGACCATAACATGACTTACCGTGACCATAACGTGACTTACCGTGACCATAACGTGACTTACCGTGACCATAACATGACTTACCGTGACCATAACATGACTTACCGTGACCATAACGTGACTTACCGTGACCATAACATGACTTACCGTGACCATAACATGACTTACCGTGACCATAACGTGACTTACCGTGACCATAACATGACTTACCGTGACCATAACATGACTTACCGTGACCATAACGTGACTTACCGTGACCATAACATGACTTACCGTGACCATAACATGACTTACCGTGACCATAACGTGACTTACCGTGACCATAACATGACTTACCGTGACCATAACATGACTTACCGTGACCATAACGTGACTTACCGTGACCATAACATGACTTACCGTGACCATAACATGACTTACCGTGACCATAACGTGACTTACCGTGACCATAACATGACTTACCGTGACCATAACATGACTTACCGTGACCATAACGTGACTTACCGTGACCATAACATGACTTACCGTGACCATAACATGACTTACCGTGACCATAACGTGACTTACCGTGACCATAACATGACTTACCGTGACCATAACATGACTTACCGTGACCATAACGTGACTTACCGTGACCATAACATGACTTACCGTGACCATAACATGACTTACCGTGACCATAACATGACTTACCGTGACCATAACGTGACTTACCGTGACCATAACATGACTTACCGTGACCATAGCATGACTTACCGTGACCATAACATGACTTACGGTTTCGTCTTGTCGTCCTTACAAACAGGGAAGATGCTGGAATCCATATCCGTTCTCAGTTCCTTCCAGAGAAGGTTGTCTTTTGTAATTTTCCCTGTAGCCTGGGAAGTCAGATTTTCCTTATGTGCCAGTTTAGCATACTGTTTCAGCTTATCAACCAGCTCGCTCACCTCCTCATCAGAGAGTCCTCCGCTAGCTATAAAGATATAAATTAGTCAACTCTATTGTTCAATCAAACAAACACATGTTCAAGTCATCTTGGTAATTTCTACACAACAGAAAGTAACAGAACAATAAATTCAATAAACAAAACTAAACATCGAAATGAAGATCAGATAATGATAAGTAACCCAGTGTGACACCTTGACGTCGGTAGCCTATCTATATTTATTATACCTCTACTTTATTTACTCTATATAAAAGTATTTGGTTAAATCGAATATATCTCCACTTTTGCCTGACTGTGTTTTAGTCCTGTGTGTTAGTCTGGGAACTAAAACACACAAACATTCGGGTGTTTCCGCCGAGCCAATCAGGCGAGAGGTTGGCGGAGCTTATTACCGAACTCGGAAGCGACGCGCGAGTTGGGCGGAGCTTGCTACCGAACTCGGCAGTGACGCGCGAGTTGGGCGGAGCATTTGGCTCCATTGCCATCAAAAGGGTAGTAGAGACGTAAAGCGATACAGCTTATGGCTTACAAATATTTTGTAGTTAAAACTATCTCTCCAGTGTGTATCGGTATAATATATGGGGTAAGGGATATAGCAAGTTTTTGGTGTCCCTTGGACATGCCTATTTCCCTCGCCTTCGCCTCGGGAAATAGCCTGCACTCGGGACACCAGAAACTTGCTATATCCCTTACCCATATATTATACCGATACTTTAACTGTTTAATATTACTCGGTATGGCAATCAAAGGTTTCGTGGTTACTGATACTCCCTCTATCAGGTTCCCAGGAAACAAACCAGTCTTCAAACCTTCCAAAGGTTTTGTCAGTGTTTCATATTGGCACACTGTATGTCTGTTGTCTGTATGAGAGGTGGTAGGGTGTTCTGTATAAAATGTAGTAGTGTTCTGTATAAGAGGTGGAAGTGTGTTCTGTATTAGACGTGTAGTGTATTCTGTATGAGAAGTGGCAGTGTGTTCTGTATGAGAGGTATTAGTGTGTTATTTATGAGAGGTGGTAGTGTATTCTGTATAGGAGGTGGTAGTGTATTCTATATGAGAGGTGGTTGTGTGTTCTGTATGAGAGATGGTAGTGTGGTCTGTGTGAGAGGAGGTAGTGTGGTCTGTATGAAAGATGGTAGGGTGGTCTGTATGAGAGGTAGTAGTGTGGTCTGTATGAGAGGTAGTAGTGTGGTCTGTATGAGAGGTGGTAGTGTGGTCTCTATGAGAGGTGGTAGTGTGGTCTGTATGAAAGCTGGTAGTGTGGTCTGTATGAGAGATGGTAGTGTTATGTATGAGAGGTGGTAGTGTTATGTATGAGAGGGGGTAGTGTGTTCTCTATGAGAGGTGGTAGTGTGGTCTCTATGAGAGGTGGTAGTGTGGTCTCTATAAGAGGTGGTAGTGTATTCTTTAAGAGAGGTGGTAGTGTATTCTATATGAGAGGTGGTAGTGTATTATATATGAAAGTTAGTAGTGTGTTCTGTATGAGAGGTGGTAGTGTATTCTGTATGAGAGGTGGTAGTGTATTCTGTATAGGAGTAGGTATTGTAATCTGTATGAGAGGTGGTAGTGTATTATGTAAAAGAAGTGGTAGTGTATTCTATATGAGAGGTGGTTGTGTGGTCTGTATGAGAGATGGTAGTGTGGTCTGTATGAGAGGTGGTAGTGTGGTCTGTATGAGAGATGGTAGTGTGGTCTGTATGAGAGGTAGTAGTGTGGTCTGTATGAGAGGTGGTAGTGTTCTGTATGAGAGTTGGTAGTGTGTTCTGTATGAAAGATGGTAGTGTGATCTGTATGAGAGGTGGTTGTGTGTTCTGTATGAGAGGTGGTAGTGTGGTCTGTATGAGAGATGGTAGTGTTATGTATGAGAGGTGGTAGTGTGTTCTTTATGAGAGATGGTAGTGTGGTCTGTATGAGAGGTGGTAGTGTGTTCTGTATGAGAGGTGGTAGTGTGGTCTGTATGAGAGGTGGTAGTGTGTTCTCTATGAGAAGTGGTAGTGTGGTCTGTATGAGAGGTGGTAGTGTGGTCTGTATGAAAGATGGTAGTGTGATCTGTATGAGAGGTGGTTGTGTGTTCTGTATGAGAGGGGGTAGTGTGGTCTGTATGAGAGGTGGTAGTGTTATGTATGAGAGGTGGTAGTGTGTTCTCTATGAGAGGTAGTAGTGTATTCTCTATGAGAGGTAGTAGTATATTCTCTATCAGAGAGTGTGGAAGGGAGTGCTATTGTTGAGAAGGTTTGGGTAAGTGATTTTTTTGAGAGTACATTTTTATCTACGGGTGTGTGTTATTATGAAATGGTATGTGTGTAACTGTGTTAGGTATAAAGGGTAGGTGTGGATGTGTGTTAAGTATAGAGGGTAGGTGAGGGGGGTAGGTATAGAGGGTAGGTTCGGATGTGTTTTATGTATAAAGGGTAGGTGGGTGTGTGTTATGTATAGAGGGTAGGTGTAGATGTGTGTTATGTATAGAGGGTAGGTGAGGTGTGTGTTATGTATAGAGGGTAGGTGTGGATGTGTATTATGTATAGAGGGTAGGTGGGTGGGTGTTATGTATAGAGGTTAGGTGTGGATGTGTGTTATGTATAGAGGGTAGGTGGGGGTGTTATGTATAGAGGGTAGGTGTAGATGTGTGTTATGTAAAGAGGGTAGGTGAGGTGTGTGTTATGTATAGAGGGTAGGTGGGGATGTGTGTTAGGTATAGAGGGTAGGTAGGGGGTGTGTTATGTATAGAGGGTAGGTGAGGTGTGTTATGTATAAAGGGTAGGTGGGGGGTGTGTTAGGTATAGAGGGTAGGTGTGGGGGGGGATGTATAGAGGGTCGGTGTGGATGTGTGTTAGTTATTGATGGTATGTGTGGATGTGTGTTATGTATTGAGGGTATGTGTGGATGTGTGTTATGTATTGAGGGTATGTGTCGATGTGTGTTATGTATAGAGGGTAGGTGTGGATGTGTGTTAGTTATTGATGGTATGTGTGGATGTGTGTTATGTATTGAGGGTATGTGTCGATGTGTGTTATGTATAGAGGGTAGGTGTGGATGTGTGTTATGTATAGAGGGTAGGTGTAGATGTGTGTTATGTATAGAGGGTAGGTGAGGTGTGTTATGTATAAAGGGTAGGTGGGGTGTGTGTTAGGTATAGAGGGTAGGTGTGGGGGGGTATGTATAGAGGGTCGGTGTGGATGTGTGTTAGTTATTGAGGGTATGTGTGGATGTGTGTTATGTATTGAGGGTATGTGTGGATGTGTGTTATGTATAGAGGGTAGGTGTGGATGTGTGTTATGTATAGAGGGTAGGTGTGGATGTGTGTTAGGTATAGAGGGTAGGTGTGGATTTGTGTTATGTATAGAGGGTAGGTGTGTAACTGTGTTAGGTATAGAGGGTAGGTGTGGATGTGTGTTATGTATAGGGGGTAGGTGTGGATGTGTGTTATGTATAGAGGGAAGGTGAGGTGTGTGTTATGTATAGAGGGTAGGTGAGGTGTGTGTTATGTAAAGAGGGTAGGTGTAGATCTGTGTTATGTATAGAGGGTAGGTGAGGTGGGTGTTATGTATAGAGGGTAGGTGTAGATCTGTGTTATGTATAGAGGGTAGGGGTGGATGTGTGTTATGTATAGAGGGTAGGTGTAGATCTGTGTTATGTATAGAGGGTAGGTGTGGGTGTGTGTTATGTATAGAGGGTAGGTGTGGATGTGTTATGTATAGAGGGTAGGTGTGGATGTGTGTTAGGTATAGAGGGTAGGTAGGGTGTGTGTTATGTATAGAGGGTAGGTGAGGTGTGTTATGTATAAAGGGTAGGTGTGGATGTGTGTTATGTATAGACGGTAGGTGTGGATGTGTGTTATGTATAGAGGGAAGGTGTGGATGTGTGTTAAGCAAAGAGGGTAGGTGTGAATGTGTGTTAGGTATAGAGGGTAGGTGTGGATCTATGTTACAATGTATGTATAGAGGGTAGGTGTGGATGTGTGTTATGTATAAAGGGTAGGTGTGGATGTGTGTTATGCATGAGAGAATATGTGTTAAATGAAAAAGTATATGTGGGTATGTGTTTTACATTGGTAGGTGCTATGTACGAGAGGGGTTGAGTGGGTGTAATTATGAGGATACCTATTTGCACGGGTATATGTGTAGGTATATGTGATTCTTAGTGTTTGGGTATGAGTCATGTGTAAGAGGGTTTGGGTGGATGGTACGTGTCAACACATTGGATATAAGTGTGTGTATCTATATATAAAAGGATATGTGTTATGTATATGTATGTTATGTAAGACGTGTGTGTGATAATGTGAGTGACAGGGTATGTGATGTTGTTATGAATGCGAGGGTGTATGGGTGTGTTATATAAGCGGGTGAGCGCTATCTATAACGGGGGGTGTTCGCGTGCGTTATGTTTGAGAGGTGTACGTTTTGACTTATTTTGAATGAGGGTGTGGGTATGTGTAGGTTATAAGAAGGTGTTTGTTATGAATTAAATGCTATTTGGTTGTTATGTGTAAAGCAACGTGTTTACCTTTATAGTGAAAGTATTTGTACGTTATCTACTGTAATATGTATCTGTCAATAAAATCTCCCTAAAACTACCTACATGCTTGGTAGGATTTACCAATATTTGTTCACTAAAGCCTTTAAACACACGTTGGTCTAGTTAAGTGTATTGACATGAGCTCCCTACACAACTTGATCACAGGTAATCCGCCTGCTGAATGGGTAGTGAAGAATACACTTCGAAACATTGTTTTTAAACAGCCGAAGGTCGTAGTTCAAATTCGTGAACTGTGATTGAAAACCAAGCTCTACAAAGAGAAACGCCATTAAGGACTTGTTGATACCTGTTTACCCTCTACATGTCAGTAGCTATCTATAGGTAACAGGGTAAAGGCCTTTCCTGTAGGCTTCGCGCTTATTTAGGGTATGAAAAGGAGTTGGAAAATTAATTATGGATACGGAAATCATTTAAACTTCACTGCCGGTGTCGATATTCCCCAATCAAACTGCGGCTTTCTAACCATGAAGAATGTATACTAATATAACAACCCACAAGGTCCATGGCCTGGGAAGTCATTCAAACTAGTGTAGTATAACCCCCGTGGTGTCATCAGTTTTGTAGACAAAACACAATATATTTATGAAAATTGATAAAGAAGTCGGCATCGAGTTCCACAAAACAAAGTATAACGTCTTTAGACTAATAATACAAAACATAATTAAAATGTCAACTGACTCTATACCGCAGTTCTCAAGAGACAGTACACTTCCTACGTTTGTAGCTGTCAATAAGTGGACAGGATATAAGCTACGTCATAGTATCCATTTGATTATAACTGTGTATTTCTATTTTACTGCGCAATACACTGACCAATCAAGCATGAATATCCGCGCACTGTAGATTTGGATAGATAGATATTTTCATTTTTTGTATTTTTGTATTTTTTTCCCAAGTTTATAACAATGCAAATATATCATACATAAACATTATTACTCTCACACATTACCATTCATTCATTCATTAAATATTCATTTATAATAAACTGCATATTTCCAGGTATAATTAATAATTAGTTATTGTTATGGCAAATTAAATTACAGCTTAATTATGTCCGTTTTATATAAGCATTGTTTAGAGGTGATAGAAAAGAGGTTAGAGCAGGTCCTAGAGGTATAGAAGGGAAAGTAAGAATAAAGACAGAGAAGAAAAAATAATGAGGGGGGAGGGAGTGGGGATTGAGAAACAAAGAAGCTATATAAATGTGTCGGAAAGTTCAAGGAGTTTTACATATATGTATTTAGAAGCAGACGTTTATATAAGTAAATTCTATAGTTATATGTTCATATTTTGGCAAAGACAGGGTTTAAGCAATATTAATTAGACTTTCCCATTTTTTCCATTCAGTATTAAATTTCAATAAAAATAATTCACTTTTATTAACAGCAATATATCTCTGAGTAAAATATGTGTCCTTGATAAGGTTCTTAAGTGCAGCTACTGACAATGGCATGTGTCAACATCTCGAATTATAAATATATTGTTTTATAATTAGACTTATGGTATTATCTACCCTACTACTGATACTATTTTGATTAAATAAACCGAAAATGAAGGTTTCCTTGTTAAAACCAAATGGGATTAACAATGCATCAAGAAGGAACTCAAAATTTTGTAGAAAGTTTTGTACTTTCTCACATGCCCATAGTGTGTGAATTATTGTCTCTATTTCAGTCTTACATTGAAAACAAAGAGCACTATCGGTAAGAGCTGCTTTAACTAGATAGGAGTTTGTTGTTAAAATTTGTTGATTTATTCTGTATTGAAGCCATCTTAATTTTGAATTTCTAGTTACTGTAAAAGGAATCATATATATCAATTTCCATGTGTCATCCTGGAATTCAAACAATTCATTCCATTTGTTTTTCCCAGTGGATATGGTACTATTTTGGCACAACAACTTATAAAAATCTTGAGTTCCTTTTTTATGCTTCATAAATATTTTTAAATTTAAGGGTATGTATGGATAACTAATCAAAGTATTTAAAGTATCATCATTGGACATGTAGTTTTTTATTGTATTAATAATACCTTGATATGTGAGAAAGTTAGTTTTTACATCAAATTTTTGTGAAAATTCTATAAAACTATAAAATATACCAGAATTATTATCTTTTAATAAGTCATTTATAATTATAACACCCTTTTCAAACCATTGCTTATAAAATAAACACTTGGTTCCTACTGTAAAATATTTATTATACCAAATAGGCATTTTCAATCTACTTTTTATCTCCCTTATACAATCCTCTTTATCTGCTATTTTTCTCCATGATTGGAACACATTTTTCCAAAAAAGGTTTTTACAATTGCCTTGAATAATAGATAAGTATTCTGAACCACAATTAAATAAAATGTCCTTATTAGCATATTTTTTAATTAACACTTGCCATGTACCCCCTGATGTAAGCAACCTACCTATCCAAGTAAGTTTCAAGGCTTTTATTGAAGGGGGTCTTAACATGATACACATGTATCATGTTAAGACCCCCTTCCTGATAGCTTTTGATGATTATATCCCGTTTTTGTTTTATCTACTTTACTTTTCCATAAGAAATTGAAAATTTCTGAGTTTAATTTTTTGATAGAATTGTCATCTGGATTTGGTAAGGAGATAAATAGATGATTAAATTTGGATATTAATAAAGATTTAATGATTTGTATTCTTCCTGTTGGTGTTAATATTCTTCTACTCCAATTCTTAATTATTGACTTAAGTTTCACTAATCTTTTATCATAGTTTAATTTAGGGATTTGATGTAAATCTACATGAAATTCTATACCTAGTACCATTAATGTTTGACTTCCCCACTGCAGGTTCCATTCCGGATAATAAATCGCATCACTGTACTTTTTATTGCCTATCCATATAACTTTATTTATTTTAAGACCAGCATTTTTTGCAAATATATTTAGCTCTTTTATTGATTCTTTTTATGATCGTTTCGTTCCATCTAAAATGAGAGAGGTATCATCTGCATATTGTACATTCTGCATATCTCTCTCCGATATTTGCCGATAATATGCTAATAGATTCTATAATTAATATTATTATTCTCTTTATTTCCTCCAAAATGAAGATTACATAAACAGAATAGTTACATATAAGAATTAATCAACATATATACATACATGGACATTGAAAGAGTACAAAGGTATCGTTATTTTAATGTGTACATAAATATTTTATAAGAGAAAGGAGATGTACATACAATCAGACGATTTGTAGTATTTTTTCAACATTTGATACACATGTGATATTACCCCTAATCTTAATTGTTCATAATCTTATAATATAACTTAATTCACTACCCAATAGGGTATAAGTCAAATCAAAATTAGGTAAATTATGCAAATAAACATTGAGTTGTATATAACATTTACTAATTAAATGACACCATAATTTGTCTCTTACTTCAGTAGTTTTATCACAATGTAAGATAATATGTGTAATAGTATCATGATAGAATTCCCAACAATAATGACGTAATTCCATGAGTTTTGACATACGAGACATTACACAAACCCTTAAGGTACAGTGTATAGATTTAGAATACCGTGGATACTTTGCAGCTAATTCCATAAATAGTGTGACTCGAGCTTATGGTGAATGGACATAAATCGTACACAATCGTTGTCATCTGACATAGTTGTAACTATGCATTTTCTTCAGTTTGATATACATTTTTTATATACAACTTTTATCCACTGTCTTTTTCCTGGATAGGCACCTAATTTATATAATCAACAAAGATATCGTATAAAAAATATTTTCTAAGGATACATATAATATCTGGTGTAAATCCATATTGTTTCCCATCATTTACATTGAACATAAAAAAATCTAGTGACAAATATTCTGTGTACTAGTGTACAGGCGTCCATACTATATATTCGTCCCAAAATAATAATTTCTTCATATCAATATAAGACTCAATACTTGTCCACCCTAGTAATGAATTACATACATCGGTCCTGGTTCTTTTTTCGAACCCTTGTATACATTTTACAATATAGTTCTGTGCTCTTTCCAACGTTAATACTTCTGTTTTAGAAAGCAATCAAAGTTCAAACCCATATAAGGCAGACGGGTACACTTTTATTTTAATCAACTTAGCAACAGTGAGGGGATTGAGCGCGCACGGATGAGCACCGGACCTAAGTAGTGACAAGTATAGACTTGAAAAGTAAAACCAACCCCTTGAACTTTGAACACTCCATGTTGATATTCGTAAAAAGTTCATTAAAAAGTATTATTGGAGCCGCCCATTTTCATATAAATTTGGCCAGCTGCCATCTGTACGTAACAGAAAAGAGCTGTGTAATCTAGGAAATTATCTGCATTCAATTTGGTTAGAACGGTCTAGATTCCAACCTTAGGTTATTGTGTTTTTTTCTCACCCTGACTTTTAACATTTGAGAACTTGTTTATTTCCAGGTTTACACATATTGTTTTGTCCATCCGCTGATCACTACACCACTGTATACAAATTGTATGCCTGTTTTTTTGTTTTTGTATTTAACATATTCTTTATTGAGCCCCGGTTGATATTATGCTAAGAAAATGTTGTCACCTCATCCGTTTTCCGATAGCCAAGGTACACTTAGGTGAGGTAGTTTTACAAAAGCTGTCCATCTGCCGATATTTTTTTTATCTTGTACTTTATAATAATTTAAAAAAGTCTACTGTCCATTTATAGGTACTATATATATATATGCGATGTACAAGATTATGCTTCATTCATGATGTTATAATTATTTGGTATTTCATAACACTGATTTATCAATTATACGTTGCTGTGTATGCTTAAACAATAAAATACTACGGTATAACGAGAATTTATCGAAGAGGATAGAAAAGAAGAAGGGGAAGGAGAAGAAGAAAAAGAAGAAAAGAAAAGAAATAAGATATCATTTGTTAAGTGAAAACAGTCAAAACAGTTGAAACTTACGCACGCTATATTATGTAAAACACACTACATTGTCAATAACAGTCAAATGCACTATACCTAGTATAGAATGTATACTTACCCATTTCGAATTTATGTGCGGAAACTGTTGCTCACTGTGTTGACAGTTAGGAGATGCCCACAGAACAGGTATGACCGTGTAAAATACTTGCCGTTTCCAACGTAAACAACGCCGGTTTATACTGGTCGCTGTCTGAAATCTACATGTGACAGGAGCTGTCAGCTGATATTAGTGAAGCGGCCCGGCCAGTTTATTGATCGAAAGCACTCATGCCATATCGTCTACATATGACCCGACCTTTAACTTATTGTGTACATCAGGGTTGGTCAGGCGTTCCGGACAGTGTAGGAACCAGTACCCGAAATCGCTCATAAGCCGCTCCAACAAAGCGAGTTTTCAGGCCTGTCAGGTGAACAAGCTTAATTTAATTAATGTTGCAGACTTTGTAGCAAGAATAGTTTCCATGTACATGATCTTTTCTGAACCAGACCTTGACTAGGATTAAACGTCATTAAAATATGGCGCCAAACGCTACTAATCCACGCACTTCTTTACGCATTAACATGTTCATGTTAATATTTTAATTGGTATGTCTCTGAGTCACAAGTGTGGCCACAGGTACAGATACATATACATATATATATACTCCAGATCGAGTCACAGCAAGGGATCGATTACCAAATCTGTGAAAACCTTCTCCAAAACAATTCTTTATAGAACTTCATGTACATTGAATCATATTCTATCCGATCCCCGAAGACCAAGGTCAAAACAATAGGTCAAAGGCCAAGTCATTCCAATCTATCGCTATGACATTAACCTTCGGGACTAAGCATGGATGCGAGACAGGTATAATGTATACATCTGGGCAACAGACCGCGGGTGGGTACTCCCAAGGTCAACATGGACATTAGTCCGAATTATTCTGACGTTTTATCGACCTTTTTTTTGTATCGGTCTGTCGTCGATTAACGTCAGAACTCCAGCCCTCTATAATATGCGGGAAATATGCGACCCGCGCCCGGAGCGCACTTCAAACTGATATTTTAGAAACAAATCGTCACTTTCACACACATGTCGCACATGGATCGAAATATCTATTCTTTATGCACTAGGACGAGGACGCAGTAGAAGTTGTGCAAAATTTTATCAAAACAGAACTTGACATTGATGATGACCTGGAACTTCATGTCGCGCATAGATTGAGAAAGAGGCATGATGGTAAACCAAGAACCATCGTAGCAGTCTTTTCCATACGAAATGACAAGGATAGGGTTCTTAAGGCAGTACCAACAAAAGTGGCGGAAAAGAAGCAATATAGTATATATGAGCATTTCCCGACAGAAGTTTCAGAGCGACGCAAACTCTTCTACCCTATTTTCAATGAGGCAAAGAGAAACGGTCAAACGGCTACTCTGAAAGCATACATTCTCTACGCAAACGGTCAACGTCAGAACGGGAGACGCGATCAGCAACCCCTTAAGAACCGACACGAACCAGCGCAGATGAGGAACCAATGACGTTATTTGCCAGCGCAACCATCCGGACCAGACGCAAGTCAAGGTCACCGCCAGGGATACGCAGCGAGAGGTCCCCCTTCGAACTTTCCAGTAGAGAAACTAAAACTCACTTATCTTAATGTTCGTGGTATCAAATCAAAACTTTTATTACCAGAATTTGTACAATTAATTGACCAGCAGGATATTTTGGTATTTACAGAGTGTAAAACCGACGATTATGATGTCTTAAAAGTGCCACTCAATTATACATACTTTGCCAAAGATCGGTCTTAATCAAAGAAAATATCCGGTGGTATAGCAATTGTCTTTAAAACGAAATTAAAATCAATGATGCATCTTTATACTACAGAATCGGAATACGTCCAATGGGTTAAATTGTCAAAAAATTGTATACAATTAGATAACGATATATTGATGGGGTGTGTGTATGTTCCACCCGAAATTCCAAATACTCGTCCCCAGACGCTTTTAATGAAATAGAAAATGAATTGATCGATATTTGTCAAAATAACAATAAAGTGGCCACTCTTGGTGATTTCAATGCAAAAACTGAAACCTGTCAGGACTTTGTAGAACCTGATGATTGTCTCACTGAAATGCTGGATATTGACAAGAATGATGATTTGTACACGTTTATGTATGATTTCAAAAACTTACAACGACTTGGAATTCCCTTACATAGATCTAGCCGATGTTAATCCAAGCTAAATAATTTTGGTTATATTTTTTTTTATTTAAGTCATCAGCCCAACAAATATTTGGTGAATTTAAAAAATCACAGAGTACAACCAATATGAAATATAATAATGATAGCCAACCATGGTATACCCGGGAATGTAATATGCTTGGATGAATAGTGCAATTGGAAAAAATGATTCGTAAACGGAAGTATATACACCGCAAAGCCAAACAGTCACAGAATACTGACGGCTGGTCGAATTTCAGGAAAGCTCGTAACATATGTATAAATGCCATTCGTAAATTCAAACGTGATTATTTTAACAATTAATGTACAAAACTTAACCATACTAATACCAGTAGCAAAGAATGGTGGAAGATTGTTCATCGTCTTATGTCTAACTCAAGCAAAAAAAAACATATTCCTCCTATTTCCGATAACGGTAACTTTATACACGACGACTTAGACAAAGCCAATGCCATTAACACTTTCTTCAGCTCACATTCTAATATTAACGACACTAATGTTGACCCTCCTGATCTACACAAATCCTATAATCATACTCTTTCTGACATTGTCATATCCCGACAAGATGTTCTGGACGTAATACATTCTCTTGACTGCAAAAAAGCTGTTGGTCCTGACCTCATAAACCCTCGTCTAATCAAAGAAGCAGCCGAAGTTCTTAGTTATCCACTTCAAACATTATTTAACCACTCCCTTACTACTTATAAGTTCCCGTCGCAATGGAAGAAGGCGAATGATAGTCCAGTGCTCAAAAAAGATGATCCATCTGTTCTCGGAAATTACCGTCCTATCTCTCTTTTGTCTATCATAGGTAAAATGATGGAAAGGTGTATATATAAATATGTTATAACTATTTAACTGACAAGTCCCTACTTTCCTCTTGTCAGTCGGGTTTCAGATCCGGTGATTCCACTATAAATCAACTTATATATATTTCTAACGATATATTTTCCACTTTAGATAAAGGTAAAGAATTAGAATGGTCTTCTGCGATATTAGTAAGGCTTTCGACCGAGTATGGCATCGTGTCCTTCTTTCTAAACTCCAAAACTTAGGTATCACAGGTAAATTATTTGATTGGTTCTCGAGCTATTTACGTAATCGCTGCCAACATGTTGTCATCAATGGTAAACAATCAAACTTAACTTACATTTCTGCTGGAGTTCCTCAAGGGTCAATTCAAGGTCTAATATTTATAAATGACATCGTCGAAGATATTAATTATATTATAAAGTTGTTTGCTGACGATACGTCTCTATACGTTAGAGTGGATCTGCCGGATCTGAGCGCTAATCTCTTGAATGATAATCTAAACAAAATTTATGAATGGTCAAAAACATGGCTTGTCGATTTCAATCCTAGTAAGACAGAATCAATGACAGTAAGTAGAAAAATGACAAACCACTTCATCCCCTTTTGTCTATGAACAACAACCCACTAACAATGGTAACATGCCACAAACACCTTGGTGTCTTTATTTCGTCTAAAGGAGGGTGGACTGATCATGTTCAGTATATAATTAACAAAGCTTAAAACAAATAACCCTTTTAAGAAAACTGAAATTTACTATTGACAGAAAAACGCTTCAAACTATTTATTTTATTTTTATTCGACCTTTGTTAGAACATGGTGACGTGATATGGGACAATATAACGATAGGCCAAAGCCAACTGTTAGAAAATATTCAACTCGAAGCAGCCAGGATTGTAACGGGGGCTACTAAATTAACAAGTCATGAGAAATTGTATTTATTAACTAGTTGGGACCCTCTTATTGAAAGAAGACGAAAACATAAAATAACACAACTTCATAAGATTGCTCATGGTCAGTGTCCCTCCTATTTGACTAACATACTCCCGGCTCGTCATTCTGACATTCATTCTCACGATACTAGAAACAGGAATAAATTCTGTCAAATAAGATGTCGTACTAAACTCTATAGAGATTCTGTTCTACCTTCCTCTGTTGACTTATGGAATGTTCTTCCGGACGACGTTAAGCATAACCCATCACTCACTAACCTTAAGAAGTCCGTGAATGTCGACTATCATCACAATAATCTTGTTACATCCTATTACTACTACTGCAAAAGTAGATTTGGCCAAATTCACCACGCTCGACTGAGGATGAACTGTAGTTCCCTCAAAATTCACTATTTTTTACGTAACTTAGTTGAAAGTCCCATGTGTTCTTGTAACCGTTCTACTGAAACTACTGAACACTTTCTCCTCTTTTGTCCTAACTTCGAACAATTAAGATTACAATGTTTTAGATATCTTCCTCATGGGAATAATTCAAATCTGCTGCTGTATGGAAATCCTGATATGCCAGATCAATATAACTTAAATATGTTTGACTTTGTCCAAAAATTTATATGTAAGTCGAAACGATTTTAGTGCAAGATTTATTTATTTTATTTTATTTTTATGTAATTATAGCGTTTGTTTAAACAATGTACATTAACTTTGAAACCTATGTTGTTCGACAACACTTGTGACATGCCAGTGTGATATTTAGACTAAATGAGTTTTGTTGATACTGGAATTATGTAATATAGACTACATCACTCTTGCATTTTGCAGGATATCAGTATACATTTTGATTGGAATCAACGTAAGGCAATTTAGAGCTGTCCATTGTATTTAATGCATCCTTATATAGAGCTCATTGGGGTTACCTTTTCATGAATCACATTCCAACCAGATTCAATTAAGTAATGCATTTCTACTCGTTATTCTCTTCATAACCCTTTCTTTAATTTCCTGATGCACCCCTTCCACCCTCCCCTCCCTGATATCTTCTTCTTCTTTCTGTCTGTTATACTATCAAAATATATGTAACAGTGCCGTCCTACTGCCAGGTTTATTAATAAGGAGACGAATTAATGTAAGTACTTATGTACTTGTTTTCGAATCCTCTTTGTTGATTTTGTATTATTTTGTCACTGCCATATATTGAATAAAATACTGTTTAAACTAAT